ACGAGTTTGTGAACCTGGGAAGGGACATGTCTGAGGAACACCTGGGTTTGCAGGCTGTCACATACCAAGAGAAGTCTTAGGATTAGAGGTCCCAAGAGTACCCTGGAGGCTAGGACCAGTGAACAGCAGAAAGCTTGCACCAAGGGAAGGGTAGCCTCATACCTGTTAGGTCTTGAGAAAGATAGATGGAGATAGGAAGTTGTCAGGGTAGCTTCCAGACATCCTTTAGGTTTTAACTGGTCCCTCCCCCAACTCCCACCCTGAGTCTGAACAGTATCTATCCTTGGAGGTGTGTAGAGTTGTATACATACACAGTGACAGTTTGTTAGACAAAGATTATGGAGATAAGTCAGATGGTAGGTAGCAAGGAGGCGATCCAGCTCACGGAAGCGGTGGGGGTTGGTTGTGGCTGAGGGAGGCAGGGAAGCATGGATATTGTGGGTGGGCCAGGATCTGATGGCAGGGCAGGATATAGACTTGAATGGGGCATGTATCACCTTGAACCTGACCTTCTCCATCAGGAGAGCTGTACGATGACATGGCCCTGACACTGAGAGACAAAGATGTGGCTGAGGATCCATTCTGAAATCACTCCTACTTCCAGGAGCAAAATTCCTGCCACTGAAGCGTGCTGTGAGGTGCCAGCCTTGTCATTACCAGAGGGTCCTTGTGACTTTGTTCTCTTCTTCCTCTCCACAGCCTGATTTTCAGACTCTGGGTGTCCTGCTGCTCAGGCAGCGGTGGGGAAATGAGATTGTCTGTCGCTCAGGAAACCAAGACTCCCTGTAAGGAGAGGTGTGTATGCAGCAGACTCTAGTCCTAGGACTTTAATTAACAGGGTATCAGAGTGGTCCCTGATACAGGGCCACTCCTGTGTACAGACATCACCTCCCAGGTAAAGGTACTCTGGCAGAGTCAGTGGTTGCAGCCTTTTGGTGACACTGCCATCCAAACTACTGGTACGATCTGCTTTTCTCTCTTGCTTTGGTGTCTTCAGGAGAGGGAAACAGCTATATGTGTATGTGTGTGGTGGTGAGTGTGGTGGGGAATGATGAGCCAGAGGCAACTATTGGGAGAGATAGTACTTTTTTTTCCAGTTTTTTTTTTTTTTTTTTTTTTTTTTTTTGGTCCTAGAGTTGCATTCTGCCCGTAGGACCCCCAAACCAAAGAGCCACACATAGTTAACTGGATTGTAGTGGGTTCAAGTAGTTGTTTATTTTTAGACCATTTCCAGCATGTTTGGTCCTGGGGTCCAGTCCCCAAATTCCAGAAAAATAAATTAATGAGAACCACATGCACTATGAGGAGGCCATTCCGACGTGTCTGTGATCATGCGGTGAATGGTCATAGGCTATAGGACAGGACCGTTGGTGTGGGCAGAGCTCCTGCACCCCAGACAGCTGATGGCAGCTGGTTCCGCCCCTTCACTGAGGCTTGGGGAAAGCTGAGCCCCAGTTATTTGGATCCTGCCACCTCAGGGTCCCTGCCCCTTATTGCTACATTTGCTACTTTGCTACTTGATGGCCCCTGGGTCTTGCCCAGGGGAGGCCTTATCACTGGGTGGCACTAATGAGTAAGTTGCTGGCGTCTGCTGTTGCCATGGTTATATGAGCACAGTCCTCTTTTAGAGGGTCTGGTGGTGAGTTATTAGCGATTTATTTGACCACTATTCAACTATTCCACAGTCCTCGCCACATATTCATCTCAGCTACGTCCTTTTAGAGTCTGGTGACACTTTATTTCTCCCCAGCCCTGGGCTTCCTATTTCCTGGAACTTGTTGGAACAATTTCTTCCAATAAATTCTCCAGGGCCCAAAGATGAACAGCCCTCAATCCCTTCCCGCTTGTGGGAAGGCTTCTTGGTGCTGTCTTCTAAAGCCCACACATGTGGAGCAGAACAGGAGAACACATTTCACGGAAAAAAAACACCCACTTGCACAACAAGCATGGGGGGGCAGACTCCTGGTTCTGTATCCTGTTGGTGAGGTAGTTTGAACATCCCAGGACTCCTGTTGGGCATGTCCCATGAGGTTGGCTAGCCCAAGGCGCAACTTAGCATTGCAAGAGGCCCTTCCTGGGTACTAGCCAGGCACCTAGCTACAGAGCTGTGGGCAAGCCTGGAATACACTTAACTAACTACACTGTTGGTTGGGCCTCCCTTTGCTTCTGGGGCTCAGCAGCAGCTTGCCAGGGGGAATGAAAGTGACATGCTACTTTCTAGAAAGTCAGATTGCTTCTCCTGCCTACCTGGGCCAGTCTAGGTGCTGCTGGGTATTTTGATGTACAATCTTCCAGCTTTTTTCTTCCCATGCAAGGAAAACTTACTTCAGCCTTTCTTTCCTGTCTGGGCCATGGGTGTGTTCACCTGCTAAGACTGAGGAGGCCGCCAAAGTAATTTTCTCCACAAGCCATCATGGGGTAGAGTCTTGACTCAGAGACCATATTGGGCCCAGCAGGCTTCTAGGGGTCAGAACGGGGCAGAGGAACCCACATTGCTGAAGAATGATTATCAAACATCTAGATTTTTGTCTGTGTATACCAGGCCAAAGAGAAGCTGGCCAATACCCAATTTTTCAAATCTTTGCATACCAAACTGACTTGGGCTGGTCAACTTGAGTGGAGAAGCTTTGTTCAACTTTCTTATCTCAGCTCCTTGACTGATCTACTAAGGAACAGGTCACAGTGGCCACACACTGAGCCCACCCCTGTTGTGAGGACTTATTGCTCCAGGCTGAAATCCATCTGAAGTGTCTGTCCTTGGTTCTATTGAGCCTGCTGACACTTCCCTCCTCTTTCCCCTGGGGGTGTTAAGAAGTTTGCCTCCTATTCCATCTGAGGACTAGAGTATGCCTGGCTCTGGGTGGGCCATGTGGGGACCTCCAGAGTGCGGCTGGTTTTCTGGTTAGTGTAGTGCAGAAACAGCAGAAAAAGGGTACAGAAGCCACAGCCAAGAAGTATGCCCTACCCGGGCTGCAGCCTGACTTAGAATGTGTTCTGTAGTCCATGGAAGGGGCAGGAAGAAGCAGAATCCTTGTCCTGGATGATTGAGGGCACCGATGTACCCATTGTTTGAGATGCCTTGGTGTCAGCACGGCCTAGGGGACCCTTGGTAGGGAATTTCCTGTGTGCAATGTTGGGTGGAGATGAACCTAGACTACAATTTTGTTCAGAAACTAGAGCGTTGTTTCTATGTAGAGATTTTTAAGAAAGTGGATCTAGAGAGGACGATTCAGAAGACCCCTAACTTGGGTTTCAGCTTCATTTCTTTCACTTGATACTCATCTAGTATTTACAAAAAGCTGGGGTCAGTGGGAGCAGCTGATGAGAGTCTGGGTGTTGCCTTTGGAGACCCGCCTCCGAGACCTTATCTCAAGGAGAAGGGAACGGCATGGGAAATGGATGCGGTGGTTGGGAATCTTTTAAGAAGGAATCTAAGTGCCTGTGGTGACTCCCCTGTGATGGACAGACAGAAGACTTGTGGATCTGGGGCTGTGTAGAAGCAGGTATGGACAGGCCTTGCAGGTGGGGGCTAGGCAGATAGGTCACGTAATGCACACAGGAGGCTGGGACTAAACAAACACTTGGACCTTTGGTCACCAGCTGGTGAATTTGCTTTTATGAGCAATGTTTTTCTCTTTTCTTTCTTTCTTTCTTTCTTTCTTTCTTTCTTTCTTTCTTTCTTTCTTTCTTTCTTTCTTTCTTTCTTTCTTCCCCTTCTCTGTTTATATACTTCCAAGGGAGGAGAGTTTCCCCCAATGGCCAAAATAGATCAAAAGAAGGGCCATCACCATCCTAACAGGTGTTGGCAGGGTAGGTTTGTGGGGGAGACTGTGTTTGAATTTAAAAGCACGCTGCTTAGTACAGTGGTGTCTGAGGCTCATGGCAATCACAAGAACAATGACAATGACAACCGTACTAACTACCATTTGCTAAGCACCCCCTATGTGTTCAGAACCTGATGTGGAACTTTGCGGGCATGAGTTCACAGTCAGGTTGGCAAACGGTCATTCTGACACATAGGAAGAACACAGATCTTTTGCAGGTTCTTGCATAGTTTGCTCCTTCCTAGATGATCAACTACTTTTAATAGGGTGCTTTGGCTGGGCCATCAGAATGAGGTTGAGAAGGGAATCCTGTGGCTCTGGTCTGGACCTGTCATTGAATATTGTGTTTTAGCTTCAGGAATAACTGAGCCTTAACCCACTAAGAGTCTGGCCAACCCTGGTGCCATCCCTGCAATCCATCCACCTCCAGGAACTTGGGCTACCAGTGGGGAGAAGCCCAATGGCCCCTGAGTGCATGGCCATGTTTATTTCGAGTAAAACATGAGGGAACAAACCAAGGTGCAAGGGGGAAAATGTCATTAGACAAGAAGAGATAATATTTTTAAAAGATTGTCACCAGAACCTTCGGTGGCTCAACAGCACACTCTGTCATCTGCACTTGTGCCTCTTTAAGCTCTGGGTCCGTGGACATTTGATGGCACCTGAGGGTGGCCACCATACCCACAGAGACTTCTTTAAAATTTGGCCTCAGAAAGGGTGGAAAGAACTTGAAGTGCCATTAGTGATGAAGATGTGACATTTTTGACATTTTATGTGAAAGCAGTGTCTGTCGTCCGTCCACTCTACCTGGGTGACTACCAGTGCGGGGGAGGCAGGCGAGCACTGTGAGTGCATCACAGAGAGTAAGGAGGTGATGCATAATACTATTTGCCCGGGTCCACTCAGCCCTCTGAAGTTTGCTGGAAGGCATGATTCCCCAGACGACTGGACAGGCAAGGTTAACATCTCAAGTGATAGTCAGACAGGAACCCCATGGAACATTCTCTGACCAAGTTAGAAATGGGCCCTTGGAGAGAATAAGCATTGGTGCAAGACTGTGCAAGAGAGAGGCTATCAACAGGGGCCTCTCTCCAGCTGGCTCAGCACAGCTAGACTCTTTCTCTCTGGTCTCCTCATACACCCACTGCATCTCCCCACCATTGCTCTCCGTGGCCCTCACTCTTTCTCCTTCACAGTGACCAAATCTCCCCTCAAGGAAGCTCTGTCCGTGGATGTGGAGCGCCGCCTGCCCGGGTGCTCTGAGGGCCCAGGCCCTGGAGTGGGGGCGGTCAGGAGGACTGCATCAGGCCCGTGAGGCGCTTGCCCGCCAGCGACTTTCCCTGCAGAGAGAGCCAACAGAGAGCACAACACAGGTGTGCAGACACACAGAGGGACAGAGACAGGGAGCCAAACAGGTGGATTAGTTGTTGTAGAAGTTACTCTGGCCAAACGATCAACCATCCAACCCAGCTGACCATGTTAAGAGGGGACCTCTAGAGAAGGAAGCCCCAGCTAAGGACAACTGAAAACACAGGACCTGGGGCCGGTTAAGGGAGTGAATGTATATGGCTAGCACTCTAGCAGGAGTATGGAAGTTTTACTTACCAAAGCCTAGGCATTAAAGCCCTCAGATCCTTTAATGCCTGTGGGCTGCCCTTGAACTTGATTTTACTCTAGTGTGGAAGGAAAAGGTATACTGGGGAAGTCTGAGGTCAGGAATGGTGGGTTGACATAAATAGATGGTGACTACAGATCTGCATGATTTGAAATTAGTCATGGGAATTCTGAAAACTGTGAAACCTACTTGAAATGAAGGCTTGGCATAGGGTTTGGGGGACTTTTGGCTCTAGGTGCTGGGACTATAAACATGACTGGGAACTTCAGTGTTCTCTGGAGCAACCGGAGGTGGCAGGATGGTGCACTCTTGCCCTGTCTGAGTTCTTGATTCCCCATGGTAGTACCCAGTAGCCAAGTGTGATGACTTCAAACCAGGAGGTCTATGATCTCTTAAATCCTATGTGGCTTTTCTCAGAATCAAAGAATAAAAGGACCACGAGGCCTGGTACATGAGGCACAGAGGTCCTGGGGCATGTTCTGTTGGGGTGGTTGAGGAACCTATGATCTGGAAGGGAATTCAGCACTGGACAGCCTGAGGAGGTATATGGATGAATGAGGCTTGATCACTCTGCTTATTTCCCTAAACATGGTTTCTACTTGTTCCCCATGCACCCTTTTTAGAAAATCATATTACTAGACAGGGGTCTCGGGGAAGAGTGTGGCTGTACCCAAGCAGATTGCTCACCATGTCTGGGAAAACATTCAAAGCCTGTCCTGCTGTTGACAGTGGGTCAGTGACACCATCACCATCTGCAGAGGGCAGCAGATGATCCCCCATCAGCAAGGACTTTGGCAATGCGAGTGCATGGGTCAGCCATTCCTCGTGCTCATTTCCAAGTGGGTGTGAGGGCTCATTTTGTTTACTGGGCTTGACTGTGTGTAAGCTGGATGTAATTAAAAAAAATTGATCTGGTTGGTGAAGCCTAGTAGGGCACTCAATAAACCTGCTGATTGATGAATTGATGGAAAATGGGCAGGTCTAATAAATGAACAAGAGCTTGCTTGGAGCTGGCAGGATCCAGGGCTGTGTATCATCTGGCTTAGATCTCTATTGAGGGATGAACACAGTCAACCTAGCTGGGACTGCTGATGGCATGGATGGAGGCTTGTCCAGAAATGGAATTGCCCCCAGGAACTGTCAGAAAACTGTATCTAAACTCTAATTTTTCTTTTTCCTTCCCTTCATTTCTCCCCTATCTTAAAGAAAAATCTCTCTCTCTTTCTCTGTCTCTCTCTTTCTTCCCCATTGACAACATTATCTCAGTTGTTGAATGCACTAAACTCAGCCTGCAGCAGGCTATGTTTGTAATAGGCTAAAAATTTTTCAGTCAGATTTTAAAAATCTTTGAGGGTGCCTGTGCCTGTGTCTGTGTGTGTGCGTGCATGCGTGCGTGCGTGTGTGTGTGTGTGTGTGTGTGTGTGTGTGTGTGTGTATGTGTGTGTATGTATGTATGTAGGTATATGTGGAGGTCAGATGACAACCTCAGGTGTCATTTCTGAAGAAGCATTTGTCCACCTTGGTTTTTGAGACATGGTTTCTTATTGGCCTAGGGCTCCCCTGAGTAGCCTAGGCTGGCTGGCCAGGGAGCCATTGGGATCTGCCTGTGTCTATCCCTGGTGCTGGGATTATACCAGTATCCAGCTTTTTATGTAGGTACTGGGTATCAAACTCATGTCCTTATGCTTATGCGGCAAGCATGTTATGTACCTAGCTGCCTAGCTATCTCTTCAGCCCATCCTTTGTCAGTCTGAGAATCACTAAAAGGACAGCCAGTCCTTTTACAACAGGGACAGCACAACAATGCCCTTAGAAGACAGACACTAGCTTCTAATGCCTCCATATCAGGCTAGCTCTCACTCTCCAAGGTGTCCTTTCTCACATGGACCAGGGAACACTTGTTATTCTGTTGATTCATTTAGGAATGTGCCTTCTAGGTGTAGGCATAAAGGCAAGAGTCGTGGGAAAATGTAAGTCTAAGGGCCTTCTGGGATGACAATATTACTTCCTATCACCTGTGTTCACCCCTACTCACATGAAAGGAGTGGCCTATTGTTCCAGGAACCACACATTTAATCTGGCTTTTTCTTCTCTTTCTACCCTTTCTCTATCAGGGCCCCAAATTAAACATTGTATACTTAGATATCTGTGTCTGAGTTGCTATACATGACACTGGGGATCCAGTTTCATTAGTGCATGTGAAAAAAAATCACTAAATCTGAATAAAAATGTAGCCAGTGTGTGTGTGTGTTTGTGTGTGTGTGTGTGTGTGTGTGTGTGTGTACAGCTCAAAGAAGGTAAGGTTTACCAGTTGCCCAAAAGCTCATTATAGTTCCATCTTCATTATTGAGGTCATTTTGGCTGCAGAGGCACTGTAGGTTGAGGCAGACTAGAGATTTTTTTCCTGAAGGATTGTTCTGAGTGATTTTAGCCCTGAGGCACCCCCACCCCTCACCTTTCCCAGATCTACAGAAAGGGCCTGGCTGGATTTGGAGGCGATAATTAATCTCTTCCTGCCAAAACTCAGCCTCATAGCTCTGACTCCAAGGACCTGTGGCCAGCCTGCAAATGATGTCCCCATCTTTTCTCTCCCCTTCTCCCATTTCTGGGGACTTCAGGGATGAAGCAGGTAGATAACCAGCCTGGGATCAGTACCAGTCTCTCAGCATCCAGGTGGTGGTGTGTGGCCTTTGGTCCTTTTCTTACTGCTGAGCTCACACATTTACCAAATGCCAGCTCTGATGCTAAAGATGGAGGTCAGGAGGGTCCGCTTGGGAGATGGCTTGGAAAGCACTCTGCTTGGCTGAGATGGTCTAGTTACAATCCACCTGCCACACCATCACCCGAGTGAGCGAGGCTGGGTTATTGGTTGCAAGGAAGTTAATCACACAGGAGCAGGCAGGGCTGGATGCCTGACCAGAGGCTCTGGGGAAGAAATTGTGAGATTCCCCCTGGCTCAGCAGCAGCCTGCCTTCTGAAGAGCAGCGATTCCTGTGGTGTTCAGGGATCAAAGTGAAATCCTAGCCGTGAATCTGTCTGTGTTCTGAGGTGAGCTGCCCCAGAGGCTATACCCAGTGGGTTTGCAGGCTGCTTCAGGCACCTGCTCTACCCAGAGACAGGAGAGTATTCTGTACCCCGTAGGGCTCTCTCATCCCTCTATTTTTCTCCCATCCCTGACTCCAGCTTAGATGATTCTGAACAAAGGGAAGTGGTCATTTTGCCCATGCCTGGTACTCATAGAGTTACAGTGGCAGCAGTGTTTGGGGAGTGTGAGTGTGTGGTGTTCTTCAGTACCGGTCAGTTGGGATTGGACTATGGTGCCAGCTCAGCCTGAGGCCTTGGGGTAGCTGGGTGAAGCAGCAGAGGGTGGTTGAAAATGCTATTAGCAGGCAGCCTTTGTCCAAATGAGGAAAACGTACAGTGATTAAGAACTGAACTGCGGAAGGTACATTCCACAGACGCCAGAGCTTTGCACACAGACAAAGCACCTTTCCCCTTCCACATACTCGGCCAAGTGCAGCCCAGGAGAACTTGGGATGCTTCAGTTTCCTGGATCAGGGACTTGATGCTTGGTTCACAAACACTTGCACATTCAGCTCCCCCCTCCCGCCCCCCAACAGATGATTTCAGCTCTGTGGCCCTTGAGATGGCTAGAAGCCTGGAAGAAGGTGTTTCGGGATCCTTTGTTTCTGAAAGAAAATGCACAAAAGGCATAGCTCCCTTTTGTGCAGTGCTAGAGGAAAGACCAACATGCTGCTGGAGGGCATGCCGAGGCTCCGGGCATCACACTTCTAGATAGTAACCAGCAAAGCATGCATGGCCCGTGACCAAGAACTTTTGTCACTTACTTACCTGGGAGACAGAGGCTGAGAGGAGAACTGTGGCTCAGAGGGAATCTGGGGGTGGGTGTCACAGGCCATGCTGGGGGCAGCAGGGCCAATCACTAGGGTCTCAGGGTGGGGGGGTCACCTTTTTTAATATAATGGAATATGGACATTTGAGCTGATAGGATTCTCTGGCTGATATAACTAAAGTTAGACGTCTGCAGTATTTATCAAACAAAACCTAGGCTCCAGCAGGGTTTGTCTGCCCCGGGACAGAGAAGTGGCATTGGTGGGGAAGGAACATAAGGGACTTTGTAGGATGGTGGGGTGTAGGCTACAGGGGAGTATAGTTTGTCAAAATCATTGAACCCTATATTTCAGATCTGCATTTTACCACATATAATCATAATTCAAGGGAGAAACCACAAGAAATAAGATTAGGGAGGGAAAAAATCCCAGCTGTCTCGCCACCGAGTTTCTACTCCTTTTTCTTTGTTAGTTGCTGGGTCCATCTTTGCCATTCTAGAAACTAAATGCTCCCCTCCTCCCACCTGGGAGAAACTCAGATCCCTCTGGGTAGGACTAATTTGAGGCGCTCTTTCTAGCTTCCACTGATCCCAACTGAACCGCTTGGTGTGACACACAGGCACTTTTCATCCTTGCTAATGAAACTCGGTGTTCTGCCGAATTGGGCACACCAACTCAGAGATGGGCTGTCCTTTCAAGGAGTGTGAAGGTCATCTATGAGTTGATGGTGCATGCATCCAGAATGACAGGCTCAGTGGATGGTGGTGGGGTGGACCAAGGAGAGCAGCCAGAAAGCCATGAGTCAGGTTCAAAGGCTAGGGTTCCTGGTGAGGGCTTAGTTGGGAGTGAAGCAGAGGGTCTAACTTCATCAGTCTTTCCCTGGGGATCAGAACTCCTGGTGCTTTCCTTGCACTGAGTAAGGAAAGAGGAATGATTTGGATAGAAAGTTTGAGGAATCCCATGACATCTCCTTTCCCAGTGATGTTTGAAAAAGAAGACGGAGAAGGCTACTTCTTGGGATGGTTCAGGTGTCTGAGAAACTCTGGCAGGGGATGGTAGAAGATCCTGTCCTTAGAAGAATTTCAAAGCATCTTCAGTTCCCCATCTTTTCTTAGCCTGCCCTCGACTATGTAAGGGGGGGCCGAGGAAATAGAAAATACAGGCAATGGGACATGCTAAGGACCACTCGGACTACATCCACAATGGGCCAGACAGCAGCCTGGAAGAAGAGGGCATTTCTGGGCTGTTCCACCGGCCACAGGGAATAGGGTAGGAACCCCACAGCAAGATTCTTGGGGGCTGATTCCTCCAAGGTTCCCACTGAGCTTTCTGATCCTTCTCAGGGGGCTGAAGGATTTTGATTTGTACTAAAATATTCTTTCTATTTTCTATATAGGAAAAACCTACAGGTGTAGATGAAACTCAAACTAGTAACAAAAACTTATAGCTGAAAAGTAGTATATATTTAGGCAGAGCTGAACCTGAATCTGCTTTATAAAGTAAAAAACAACCAGAATAAAAACCATGAAAACAGTTCCTCATGCCACATGTGTTAGCATAAACAGGTGGGTGCCGGTGGGTGCGTTGTTAGGGAAGGGACCAGGGAATCTGTTCAGCAGTCACATCATTTGAACACTGGTGCCGTTTTCAGGTCAAGATCCCTCACTCCAACACCTACAGGCCATTTCCCTCTATTTTTGTTTGCAACTTGAGTTTAGGAAAGATGAGCTAACCTAGCTGGATGAATGCAAATGGGCCAACCTACCTGTTGACCTCCCAGGGCCTCTCTCTGAATTTCCAATTCTCCACCCATTAGGTGGCATCTCCAGCTCATGTACCTCTCTTTGCAAAGCACACTTTTCTAATTGCCCAGGCCTTGGTGGAGGCAGGGTGGAGCTGGGTCACTAGGGACCCAGGTTATCAGACAGTTAACAGCAGCTGCCCCTGATGGTGAAACTTCTGCCATCTAGATACTTGATAGACACTTGGACAAATGCCCACAGCATCCTTGCTGGTTAGGAATTCTTTATCATCATGGAATGTATGAGGAAAAGGATTCCAGTAGAGCTAGAGTGATTTGCCTGAGAGCAGATAGCCACACAGTGGCAGAGCCAAGGTGATGGGCCTCAAGAACCACCCATCTACTTGGCACATGACCATGACTCTCAAGGGAAGAGGCAGATGGGAACACCCAGGCACCAGGCACTCCTCCATACTCATACTGCACCAGCTTTCTGGGCAGTACAGGGTGTTCTTCCTTGAATATCCTTGAGCCCATTTCAAATACTTTCGGCTATGCTCAGGGCTTCTCCTTTCTGTTTTTGGGAGTTCTGTGACAGGGGAAGCATACCTAGTTGGCTGGCAAGCCTGGAAAAAGGTACCTTTGCCTACTGCACTGAGCCGGGGTGCAACTGGGCGTGGCTTGGTGCTACAGATTTGCAGCAGTGGAACCTGAACACACCAGCTGAAGCCTTTATTGTGTTCATGACTGTGTGTTACTAGTGCCTTTGAACTCTCCTGGAGTGACCTCAAGGACAGAAAAGCAGATGTGACATTGGCTTTTATAAGATAGATAAGGCAGAGTGGACTTAACTCCTATTAGAAATGACTCCATTTCAAGTCATAGACCAAGTGCCCTATTTGGGTTATCCCAGAGAGTGTAGGGAACCCTATTCGGATGGTGTCCATGGACCCTGGCTCCTGCCTGTCATGGAAATCATTACTTAGGATATCATTGCAGGCTAATCTTTGCTGGTACATTTGGGTGAGCTGTGGGAGACCTTCTTCCATTTCTCTCTGACTGCACAGAGTCTAATTTGGAACCAGGCAGGAGAGATGAGTGCGCAACAGCTGAGCCCTGGATTGGTGGCAAAATGCCCTGACATGGACTCTCCGGCTTCCTTTCCAAGTCGTACATTTCCACCTCCCCTGCAGCTCCATCTCCTCTGCAGTGGAAAGCCCCCCACCCCCACCCAAGACCATAGGGCCTTCGGTCTCTATTTCTTGTCGCTCCAGTGGAGCAACCTGCCCTTCCCACTCTTAGCTTGCAGGAACTTCTTGGTGGTCTCGGGAAGGGAGGGGGCATTTTGCTTGCAAAACCCTCCAGTAGCATACCTGCCTGGGGCCTGCACAATGTCTGCCTCATGCTTTTCTTCTCCTCCCCCACTAAATGTACACGGAGATCTAAGCTCTGGTTTACTCCAAATTAGGAAAAGGCCAAAGACTCAAGAAAACAGGGAGATGACTATGTTGCCATTGGCAACAACTGGATGCTCCTGTTTTTCCAACAGGGAAGTTCAAGTAACCCTGGGCTATGACCACAGGGTGCATGCAGCTAAAACTCAGTAATTTGATATTATGGACAAGCCAGCAGAAGAAGTCGCTTGCTTGGCAGTATGAGATTCTCCTGGGAAACTGTGAAAACTTCAATGCCATTTACCCAAAGGCACTTATCTCCTGCAAACACACACACACTGGCTGGTGTCCCTAACTACGGTAGCTGCTAAGGCAGAGCCCAGGAGTCAGGGAGACGATTTCCTGATTTACCCTTTGCCTTCTGTCAACCCAAAGCAGAATGCTCCATGAATGCCCACGACTACTTGGAGACACATGAAAAGAAGGCAGTTCATCCCCCTTCCCTCTCTACCACCTTGACAGCAATCCAGCATTTTATGAAATAGGCACCTGGGCATTCTTAATCTGGGAAAGGGATAAGCTAAGCAGCACTCTCAAGCGTCGTCTGGATAGGACCTTGGGCCATTGAAATTCCTAGCTTCAGAGAACCTTCCCACTTCTCTTTCCCTACAGGCTCTTTTCTCATATAGGAGTATGGGAGGTTTGGGCTTTCCTGAGGATTCAGTCCCGGGATTGCAAAGGAAGGGTTCTGAAAGCCTTATTTGGAAGAGGAAACCCCAGGTCACTGCAATTGGATTTGAAAACACCCATGAAGTTGTTAGGAAGTGGGTACCCTGAGACATGAACTATAGGACCCCTACCTAGGATGGTATTTATGCATTGCCTCCAGGACAAAGGACTCATGTTGGCATCATCTCTGGAATACTCAACCCCCTTGTTTCTTAGGAAGAAAAAAAAAAACTATGGGTGTCAAAAACAGGGATACCAAGAAATGGGTGCCACTGACTGTCCGTGGGACCAATGTGTGAGGATAGGAGCTGTGAGCAGAGCCAAGGCCACAGACAGACAGATTATCTCTGCTGGACTGAAGAACACTGTCTATGCAGAAGGATCCCCAAGGTTAGAGAGTGTACAGACACTGGGATCACTCACCCACAGCTGGAAGGAAGCCACCTCGGGGGTGAAACGCGGCGGCCATTCTGACTCTGCGCCAGCAGCACTAGGCAATTGTGTTTGGGGGAAGGGAAGTGAAGAATAACTCATCCAGCTGAAACCGTGAAGACCTGTGGCTTTAGAGGAGCCCCTGCCCAGATGCGCATACAGCCAGGACAGCCATGCAGTCCACACACAAGGCACATGCAGGCCTGCAGCATATGGTAGCACATGAACCATACACTGAACACCTAGGTGTGTAGCAAATAGGTAGTACATGCACCTGTGTACACTCCTGTTCACATGTATATACAGCCATGTACACACGTGTGCATGTCCACCAGGCAGGCGTTCACGTAAGCGTCTCATGCAAGATACATAAGCAGCTGTGAGGTTAATGGGTAGAGATTTTTGTATCAGCTCCAGACTGTGCCAACCTTTGACAACACTGCAAACTTGAAGCCTTTGCCTTTAGACACATATAAAACAAAGCAAAACCAAAAAACCAAAATCTCAGGAAAATCCATCTGTGTCACCCCTGTTTCTACCAATGCTACAAGCAGCAGGAGCTGGCACCCCAGGCACCTGGTTTCCTGCCACTTGCTTCTGAGTCTCCTAACAGCCTTGCTGTATAATAAGTGCTTAAAAAATAGAAACCTCTGTTTATCTGGCAGATGGAGCAACTGGCCTTGGTGTGAGGTTGCATTGCTCAGGGTGGGTCCAGGCAGGCAAACAGCTGAGAGGTGAGTTGCCCTGGAAATGTGGCTGTGAAGGCTATGCTTGGAGAACTGGATTTTGCAGGCCTCTTGTGGTCAAAGCCATTCATCCCTGGTATGTGTCTGGAGAAAGGAGTTATCTTAAAGTCCTGGGCCTCTGTGGGAGTCCTGAGGCCAGGTCTTGGCAACACAGCATCAGTGTAACCATGGCCCCTTCCATCTGTTGGGTTGATGAGACTTATAGCTCTAAGGCTTCCTGGGAAGTCCTTAAAAGCCACAAGAAATAATAGGTCATGTGCCAGAGGCTGGCCCCTCGGGCACTATAGTCCCTCTCTATTCCCCAGGAAAGCAGATGAACCGAGTTAAGTTTAAAGCAGGCCAGTAATAATGGCTACCACACACTGTGTTGTTATCATGCCAGCCATTGTAGTAAACGCACCTTGCATATAGTGCTACTTACACCCCTCAACTATAAAATCAATACAGAGACACCTACCTCACAGAACACTGTTGCAAGTGACATAAGGTGGTAAGTGGAGAACTAAGGGTGCGTTTTATGATAAATAATACTAAATAGTTGTCAAATACGTAGGCTACAAACAGTGTGCTCTATGTAAAATTTATACTTCATCACTTACTATTCTCTCTCTTTCATAGAGGGAGAAACTGAGGCTTAGAGTATCTTCTCATGGTCATCTAATTCAGGGATAGCATTGGAGGAGAGCCAATGTCATCTCAAGCTATGCCCAGCATGATGTGTTTAACACCATGAGTTACCAGGAAATGGCAGCTGTCACTGTCATCTTCTCATTTAGTGCTGACCTCTGCTCTGTGAGGCAGGGTTTGTTATACCCCTCAGGTTCAGGAGTGACTTTTCCAGACTCCTACGTGAGCATCAGGTAGAGCGGGGGAGTGGGGAGTCATTTTGGCTGCTTGATTCTGACTCACTTCCTGTTCTGAATTCCTGTGAGCCCTAAAGGGACATGGCTCTCATGGGAAGAAACAAGCAGGTCATCTGTGATAGGGAGAGAATGCAGGTGGGGACATATAGCCAAGTTTTGACATTCAATCCTAGGTAGTTAGTGCAGCTTAGTCACAACCCAGCTCTATCCTCTAGTTAGGGGGACACAAGCAGAGTTAACTGGCTAGGGACAGTAGCAGGCTGAAAGGTTCTGAGAAGCCAGGTGAGAGGGGCCAGCCAGGGGCCACTCATGGCAAGACACACACCTCACCAGGCAGTAGTTTCTGGAGAACATGGTCATCTTGGAACCTGACACCAAACCTGGAAGAAGCTACTGAAAGGCAGGTCAGGGGCCCTGGTGGCTACCATCCAAGCCATATTCCTTGGTGGTCTTTCTTATGATGTCCTACAGACCTAGGAATTAGTCAAGAAAGCTATGATTGAGGACTAGCAAATGATGGGGTCTGAAGCCCTGTATCATTACCAAGGAAACCTCCATCCAGTATATGACCTCTGGTCATGATCACCCACATAGGATAAAGGTTGCCTCCTCTTCATATTCTTTATGGGTGTCCAGATAGTATCTATCACCCAGAACAAATTCTGCCTGCTACCTATGCTACAGACTACAGGGTTGTGTTTTTGGTTCTTTCTGGATAGTCTATGGGTTCAATAAAACATGAAGGGTCTATGAGCCTACTCTTTGTGGAAGAGATGAAGGTCAGAGGCATGTGGATGAGGCCAGGTGCCCCTGGATCCCTGAATCTCCCTGCTCCATACCTCCTAGGTCAAGGGCCTGCTGTTCCTGACAGGGATTTAAAGGAATGTCTGAGAACACAACTACCACCAACCCTGCCTGAGCTTTCTTCCGAGTTTAAAAAAAATTCTTGTTAAAACTTTGCTGACTTTACCAGGATCGCCATGTTTAATGAGAGGCCTCAACGAATTTGAAAGCAAAAGATGAAGAGAGGAAAAAAAGCCATGAGCTGTAATCACCATAATTACACAATCCCAGGATGAGTTGAAAGCAGCCCCTGGTGAAGCCTGAGAGAGGAGGGAGTGTCATCTGCAATTGGGTTGGTTCTTAGGACAGCTGAAAAGAATGTGACATGAAAGCCCTTCCTTCCCTTCCCCAGAGCTGGGTCTAAGATGGATTCCCTAGGCAGGACCTGGGAGGAGGGGTGTGCAGGGAGGGCAGTCTCTTTCTGGTCTGAAGCCCCTGGGGCATGTTAGGTTCTTGGTGTCAGCTTCTTCGCCTGGAATCTTCAGTGGTGTTGAGTAAAAGACAAATGGTCTTTTCTGTTTTCAACAAAATACCCATCCAGATGGGAACTGTGACAAGCCATGCTTTTTCCAACCCAGGGCCACAGTGCTCTGTGCCCAGCCCCCGGTGCCAACGAGTGCCTGTGTCCTTCGCTGGTTGACCTCCTTTCAGGCATGCAGAGGAGACAGTCCTGTTGCCCAGGGGCTCAGCTGCAGCAGCAGCAGCAGCAAATGGTCAAGGTCAGGGAAGGGGAGAGCATGGGTGATGTGTGGAGGGCAGAGATTCTGCTTCTTGAATTTCCCTTGCTTTCTGTGTGGCATTGTTTACTTGTTATTTTTCCAAGGCAGACTCCTGGATCCCTCTCATCCAATCTCAGCAAACTCCCCCTTATAACCCAATCACCTTTCCCACAACCTGTAGACCACTGAATTAAACATGGTACGATCCCTTAAGAAATATTTAGTGCATCCCGGAATTTCAGATGGACGACATTATGGAATTGAGCACAGAAAGCTCTTCTGCACTGTTCTTGACCACTGAGTTTCTACATGCTGTCAGAATGTTCTCCAGTGCTGTAGTCCTCCCCATGACTTCTATCCACCTGTTCTACTTTACCCATTGGGACAATCTAGATGGGCCTGTTAATTCTGGGAAACAAAGATGATCATTAGGTTTGCTTGAGGCCAGACATCTTTATCTACTCTTGTCTCCCTTGTCATGACCATCACAGCCCAATTCTCTTCTCAATTTCTTCTGGCTTTCCAAAACCCTGGATGAGATACAGAGGTTTAGCATCAAGATACCTAGAGCAATACAAGGCAGGGAACACTCCACAAGGCAGGGAACACTCCTCTGGCCTTTGACCAGTCCCATTTCTATTATCACAACCTCAAGCTGGAAAAGACAACCACAGGGGGCTAGGAAGGTAGGCAGGAGTAGACATTAGTTTTAATCTTTGGGTTGAAATCTCACTAACAACAGGTTTTTGCTCTTTTAATCCCCCCCTGCCCCTCGTAGTAGGGATGCCGCTATTAGGGTCAGCTAGGAAAAGGAGAGCGTCCTGCCAAATGTTAGGCCAATGAGGCCTACTCTTGTTTGAGACTTTGCTGTTGTTGTGAGGGCCACAAGGACTTGGACATGAAGAGGGAGTGTGGAAGACCTGCTGCCGTTTGGGCCCTGTCTCATTTTCCCACACAATAGGGAGCTGCCTTGCGACCCCTCAGTCACCCTTCTCCCCTTGGCTTTATAAAAGACACCTCAGCACCTAAAGTCCCTGTGCTAAGCTTGCAGTGTCCCAGGCAGCCATTTACTTCTGAGCAACATCCTGTAGTTTTTTCCTACAATGTATACATTGTATGTGTGCCCTCCTTCTAGGACCCTGTGCAACAGGAGAAATTCACTAGCTGCTTTAGCAAAGGGAAGTACCTACTACCTTCACAGCAGCTCATTTAGGCAGGAGTGGGGTGTGGGGGTGGGGCTGCTAGCCGGCCAGTCCTATGATCTTAAGTTCTCCTACTTCTCTTGCAAGTTTCCAGTATGGACAATAGGTAGGGCCAAGTCTCCTTGACCTTGGTATAGGTAGCATTGTCCTCTTCCCAGGACCTGTAATCCTAGTAATGCCTGGAAGTGGCTCTCTCTACTCTGTCCTGATGGCAGGATGAGGCAGATCTGTTTCCTAAAGGGGCATACACAATCTCTTGAGTGGCCTGCCTTCTGCCGTGCAGGGTCTGGCTTGCCTTTACCCTCAAGTCTTCTCACTGGACAGATGGGAGCCCACGAGGTTCCTGTGTGGGCACACGGGGACAGGTGCCTGAGTCTGGCTGCACAGTGACAAGAAACAGGCTGAAGTCTCACACCACCAGCCACTGCTAAAGTGAGATCACCTTCCAGCAGGATGGCTTTCCTAAGTGGGGGTGGCCACGAGGCAATAAGACAGCAAAGGGCTCAGGTCACCTCCCAAAATAGATCCCTGCCTGGCACATACACATTGTCTGCCCCTAGCCTGCCTCACTGGGAGACTGGCAGGGAGATCTGGATCGAAATCAGTTGCTGTAAACACACAGCTGAGCCCTTCTGCCTCAGAGGACTGGGATTTTCAGTTGACTGCATGGCACACTGGGGTCTGA